GAATTTTTTTTGATTATCACCAGATGGTATTGGGAAAGTTTACGATATGCAAATGATATACAAATACATTTATATAGGTAATTTTTATTTGGTTTCTATTTTGATATGAAAAAAATTTACCTCAACACATTAAAATGATACAGTGAAGAGTAAGCTGAATATACAGTTATATATGATTCGTCACAATCGTCAGTATGTTGTGAATATTTCAAAATTGTAAAAAAGTACGGTACGAGTATATAATCTGTGAATCTGTATTTCTCTAAACTTAATTTTTTTCACTTTTCGAGGGTAGATAAAAAGGTGATATATTCTATTTTCAAATCAGGCATTTGAGTGGAAACTCTGCGAACAGTGCGAACCGCAGCGTAGCTAACGACCGTGTAAATCGTTACGCTTGACCTATGTTCTTACGCACTGAGACATTTGTCGTATTAATATTTTAAAATGAGAAACCGCGAAACCTTTGACGAACAACTTTGAATATTTTTTGCCTTTTCGGGTCGAACAAATTGCGTAATGTAAGTCTTTACATCTGAGCTCGCACATCATCGTAATCTTGATCGCCCCTCGTGGTTGTCACACGTTCAAATCCCGTGAGGGATTCTTGTAATAGTGGTTCTTATAATAGAAAAATAATTACTTGCTACGAAAAATAGCCATATACAACGCCAATTTGCAAGATATTTCAATTTGATATTATTCTTATTACTCACCCAAATCAATAACTAATTCGTCTTCTATTTCGATCGTGGACTTATCTAAAACATTAAATTTGGGATCTTGTTTGTCGCCCTTGCTTTATATCGGAGTCTCGATTTAAATATTGTAAGCGTACTTTTGAACGGCTGTTATTGTTGATTATTTTGTACAATTTATTGGCGTGGAAATTCAACCACGTTTTAATTTTCGACAACGCTTTGAATAATATATGACCGTGCTTTATTATTCATCAAAATTGCATTGAAAATACCACCGACAGCTGCCTCATCAGTTCTGATCGACTTGAGCCTATTTTCTGGTTTGCATCACAGGGGGATGTGTTTCCGTAACTTTTGCGTCAGATCAAAATCGATTTGCTTTATACTGAACATGCCAAAGTTCGGTTCAAGAGCAGTTCACCTCTGGTGGAAGGTGCAAAATTTGCATACAAGTTTTTATAATAAAAACCCGATGAATTTTTTTCACTAATTTCGGAATATTTCGAACCGCCCCATCCGTGGACGCAAACAAGTGGATTAGGGAAAACACCGTCTTGTATAGCGCTGTATATATATCATCACAAGTGTAGTAATTCTGTCATTTATGATCTTCTTTGGGCCTTGGAATGATCTGTGCTGAGGTTTCAAAATCTTACTTTTGAAATGGGATTGAGTTATATCTCAAATAATCTTGCCCGTGACTCAGTATATACTATATACTGACCCCTTCGTCCTTTACGATAAAAATACCAATATATGAAAATTTTCTTAGGATTAAAATAACCGATATTTGAAGATTGTATTATGTAAATATACCATGGTGTGTAATAATATGTGTAAATGAAAGTGTTTGATCAATTTCATGTATTTTTTTTATATACCGAGTGAATAGAAATATTTTCATAAATAACCCCATTCAAATACGAAATTCTTTTACTAGTTATTGATGATCGATAATAAAAGAGGTAAAAACTCTTGAATATACCTTGAATGATATTAACTCTTTTATTTTCGATCTTGTCGATTGGCTATTCATGTACTATAATAAATAGACTTGAAATTATTATGTTTATCGACTGAATTTTAGTAATCATATATATATTAAAATAAAGACGCCAAGTTCAGCTGAATATAATATTTTGGTAATATCGTGTGGTCAAGGCAAGATCAAATTTGATCGACAACAATCTTTGATGTAAAACGTGAAATCGGAACATTGGCACTAATCATTTTTCTTCAGTCCGTGCCGTGTAAATCAATCCGCCCCTGGAGATTTCTACATTTGCTTCGCGCTATTCTACCACAAAACACGATAAATTCGGGCATCGACCGAATGATTTCGATATAGCCTTCCATCTGTGGCTCGCCACCTTCATTAATAGATTCAGCCACGGTATCGCCAAGGGACCGCCTCAATCCGACCGCATTACGCCTTATCACAAAGTGAAGAATGATGAGCCACGAATCTGGCGAGACGGACAAGATTCTATATAGATGGCATCCCTTCATTACAAAATATTTACGTGTGAGCATGAAAGCCGTGACCTCATGCCTATTGATGGGTTAAATATGTTCAATGCTCGAGGGGGTCGGTTGAGGTTTATACATATCGCTCTTCGTGTGTGCTTATTGGTCGCTTGGGAATGTGTTCATTTGCGCAACAGACGTTTGATTGCTACTTATTAATGAACACGAAGTTATCATTGAAAACAGATAATAAATCGCACTTAATACACGCAAGTTGTTTTAAGATGTTGTTTTCAGCTAAGATTATATGTAGAATCATTTTTGTGGGATTCAAATCCTTTGTCATAATAGAGAGCGAACGTTAAAGTCAAATTCTAGACGTAACTTCATATTGATTGAAAGTACTTTTTATTCATTGATTTGATGATCAAATTTGTCCATTATCTTTTATTGCGATTGGGTCCTCTGGGGTTGAACAATCTCAACGGGTTAATATGTCTCTATAAATAGTGATTTGTGCACGTTTATTCTATGTGTATTTGTACAAACATCATATATTGAAAATACGGGGATCGTAAATTTAGTGTGCATTGAATTAATATAATGTATAGTAATTGAAATCGAAATGAAAATAAGAAATTTACTCATTACTCATTAGTTCTGTGGTAAATAATTACCAAAGTAGTTCAAAAACCGCATTAAATAGATAATCATATTTTAAAAAAGCGAAAGCTCATTTCTATTTTGATTGTGCGGTTGTTAGTCTATGGATGCGAATAGACCACTGTAAAGCATTTAGTTCGCCATCAAATTAGCAATCTCAACTAAGTTTAAAGCTAGTATATAGAAGCTCTCATTTTGGTTCAATAATGACAGACATTACTGCTGAATTGTAACAAAAATTCTAATTTAAAAAATAGCAAATGAAAAATTCTGACTCATATTTGAAGCGGTAAGATATCAATCTCGATCCAAATTTCCAGCTCCCGTCACATGGCTATAATTGAGTTGAATCAGTCTTATTTTAACAAAGACAACAGATTAAGTTTGTGTATTGTGAAAATAGAGGTTTGTCTTTTACAACAAATCAAAATTTTCTTTCGGTACAAAGCAAAATTTACGGACACGTTTTACCAACCATGACACATGAATAAATATCAACATTTAATCTTTGTTTCACACTCGACGAAGCATAACCACAAACTGACTATTGAGAGTAATCCAATATAATGAATACGTTATTTTTGATTTGAAAATCTCGCATATTTACACGCCCGCTAAATCCCCGCTAACCATACAATGTCGATCGCGTTTACACAACTTCGCGTATATATCCAGTGTTTGTTATCACTACATTAATAGCGCGACCGCAGTGTTGTTTTTTCTCAGTGATTCGTCTCGCAGACTATTTATCCGGATACACGAAAAGGTAATTTGTGCTACTACAGATCGCATTATAGAAATATGAAAAAAAAAATGCTTGAACTTATGTTCAAGTACAGTCATCATGTATTCCGCATATTCATAAAAAGTATATAGCTTGCTATTAGGTTCGCTCCAGAGTTTCAGCCGAATTTACTTTATTTGTATTGAACAAACGTTGTGCATGTCATTAGGCTGAATTACAATCAACAATGAAGATATTTATCTGATTGCGTTTATTGAACATGGGAAAATATTATTATTAGTCATTATTTATGATATTTTCGGCGTTAAAACGGATTCCATTGTTCTGTTTACGATCTTATTCTGATATTCGCCAAATGGAATTTCCTACTTAGATTAGGATTAAGGGCGCAATTTATAGTCTCAAATTTACTCGAATTTAGATATTATCACATTTATAAACGAACATAATATACAAATCGTTCAATACATCGGTGAAATTGAATCTGCATTTACTATATATATTATCACTCTAATTCACATGCAGATACGAAATAAGAAAATGTAAACCCATTTGACGTATATACGTTGTAAATTGACTTTACTAATCCGCCAAAACTTGCATTTATCTCAACACAAAAAAACATTGTTGTGTTCATGGAAACACGAACAGAATCAGATAGGCGTGAATGGCAAATGATGAATATCAATGTGTTTGGTAAATTCCACAGCCTTCGACTTTTATGTTTTTGATTTAGTCAAACCCCATAGCAACGTGTTTGTGGTAAATCAAACATTGAAGAACAGAAACCATTGATTGATAAGATGACGAAAACTTATACAACTCGTCTGCACTGTAACAAAAATAGTAATTTCCAAGGCGGGTGGCCTGTAATTTCGACACAGTAAATTAAATTGATGTTTTTCATAAGATATTGTATGTATCTTATCGTGGAATAAAATTACCACTTCTTCTACTGTGAATTGGCTAATATTTTCTAGTGTTTTTTTTATATCTGGTCAAAGATTAGTGGACATTTCAACTGTATACCCAACTGTAGTGCACTTCTTTTCTAGCTTCTGAAAAAATGAATCCGCGTGCTATTTTGCAGCTGAACAGTCTTATACACGGGAGGCCATTTGAAAGGCCTTTGGGACTATCTATTATATTCATCCAAATTTCTCACTAATTACAATAATTGGTAAACGAAATGCGTGTCAAAATATACGTCTCTAAAATTGCACACACGCCTAGCAGGTGTCCATGTTACTCGATATAGACAGATCATGAACTATACACTAACCTTGACTTCGTAGCTTACCTTTACAGTAGAATACAGTCTAGACTAGACATCGTTGACTATATAAATCCCTTGTCACTCGTGCTTCTCCTTATGAAATATTGGTGTAATATATGTTTAAATGAATTTTCTTTTGTATTCACAGAGTGAGATTGCCAAGAGATTGAGTGCGATATGCGCTCAAATCATTCCTTTCTTATCACAAGAGGTAAGTTTAAATATGATTACGCATTTTTGCTAGTTTATTCAAAAACATTTGCGTTATAGATCAAGAGTTCATGCTCTGGTTGGTCTAGCCATGAATATGTGCTCTTGCCTTACAATGAGTATCAACAATTTGGCTTTCAACTTTGAATCTACTTCGTAGAGTGAAAATTCCGGCATTTGCGAACTGCAGGGACTGATTCCGTTTAAAACTTTGCGATCAGGATTTTTTTTGCATACATCTATACATATGTCAAAAGCCTATAACGACGCTTAAAACGAGTAATTTTAAACGAGATGAATTATTTATTGAATTGGTCGATTATAGGATACTTGTAACAAACTGCGCTTTACTTTCCCGCGTCCTAATACTCAGTTCACTGATACAGTAGCAATAAAGATATTTTATTACCTCATATATAATTTTTATGTATTGTTATATCAAGGAAACCTTTTGTTTTATTCATTAATCTTGGTAATTCAACTATTACTGAAATCTAATCTAAAATTAGGTTGATATAATAAAATTATCAACTGATATATATTTTCCATATTTTTTCTTTCCTCGCATCAGCATCAGCAGCAAGTGGCAACAGCAGTTGAAAGAGCTAAACAAGTCACGATGCCAGAATTAAACCAGATCATTGGTGTAAGTATAACCTTTTTTGAAGATTAAATATAGATGATAAATTTAGATATGTATTATTTGAGAGAATGTTTGTCTTTCATTTTGTTTTATACAGTATTTAGTTTCCCTAACATTAAAATTCGAGGGCTTTCTTTTGCTCATTTTAACAAGTTTATAATGTCGATCATTTTTTTACAGCAGCAACTTCAAGTTCAAAACCATTTAGCGCAATCTGCCGCCGCGGCTGGTGTTGGTCTCCATCCTGGACAATTACCGCTTCCCGCTCACGCTGCCGCTATTGCTGCGGCTGCCGCCGTATCGGGGAATCTCATTGGCCCAAATCACTCGTTTCCAGGCGGAAATTTACCCACAAGTTCAGCTGCAAGTGCAGCGAGTCTTCTAGCATTCTCAGGATCGACTGGATTACCGTCTACACATCCTCTAAACATGCTGAGAATGCGAAACTCAAAAGATGAACGAGGACCTGATCAAGTCTCACAATGTAAGTTTTGTAGATAAATCTATATCTGATATACACTCTTGCTTCAGAAACTAGAGTACATTTCTGTTACGCGTCATATTTGATATGGTCTTGGTTAGGATCGAATATCTTTGATAAATAGAATTCAATTACACATATATTCAAGGCTCAAAGCTGATTTATTCATTCCTCAAGATATAATTTTGCTTCAATTTTGTCTTCGTATTTTCAGGGATCGATAGGGAAAGAGAAAGGGCCGCTGCTGCAAACCGACAGGTATGAGAACAATTTTTCAATCAGGCTATCAAAATCGTTTAGTTGTAGTTAATGGTGTTTTTGTCAAAACCCAAAAAATCGCAGGTCAAAAATATGCCGGAACACGCGGGTGTGTATCTGCATATTGTATTTATGTCCAATACTCAAAATGTTTACTCTTATGAAAAATTCAGTTTGGAAATGCGATTGATATAAAGTATCTCCGTTTGGGTTTTATTTATTACATTTTTAGAACGAAATTTCAATATTTTGTTTCAATGGCAAACAAAGCACAGCTTGGCAAACTTTTTTGGTAATTCAGATATCTAAAACAAACGGTTAGCAAGCAATATAAGATGATGACGACGTCATTATAACTTCACTATACCTTGATATGCCCTTAAAACAATATTCAATAAGGAATTCATTTCCATTTACCGAGAATTGGAATTCAATTGCCTTTATTATTTTTATTTCATATCGAAGTTCTGACATAAATCCCCGATAATTTCGTAAAACAATACCCAGAAAGGAATTCCAGTAATGACATACTTATTATTCACGAATGCCATTCTCTAAGATATCATTTCAAAGAGAGCGTATGGTGAACATCAGATACACTATCGTGCTTAAAACTGTATCAAAGCTTATTATAATTTTTCATGCTTGAGATCAGAATAGCGTCGGAAGCTTTCATGTTTTGCTGGTGAAATCTGGCACCTAAAATTGTCTTGAAATAGATCTTGAAGCTTGTGTTTCGTGTGATTTGAATGCATTGGATATTTTATCCCTGTGAGGTTATTTTTGATCTGTATTTGAGTGAGTTGTTTCTGATTTTATTCTGCGTCAACGGAAGTTATAATACCTCGTTATTTCCATGTTATGAATATTTTAGTTCCCTCAAGACTATAACCACTTTTGTTTTCATTTCATTGTTAGCCTGTACTATATCTAGTATACCACGCCTATTGAAATTTTTTTTTTTCTAAAATTCAAATAATTTCCGAATTTTTTATTTTTGATGACATACTATTTGCCATCGATTTTGGGAGCTTACGTTGAAGGTTCAAAATAAAACTTTTTTGGTGCGTTTCTCATATGTCTTCATTGAATTTGTTGCATCATAATATCAGCATTATCTTCAACAATCATGATAACTATACAAACACTATCATGTACTTGATGTACTGTTATCAACGGTTGTTCTTCATACCGTTTCATATTCAAATTCCATCCAATTACATCGCAAAGGTGACGACTTCTCGTTGCGTTTAGCTCTGGTTGAAAACAACAAACAGCACTACTTCAAGTAAATAAATTCCATTTCTATATTCTAGCTATATCAAATGACAGTTGAATATGCAAATGAAGTTATAATTCGCCTTTTTATATTTATACCGTCCGTAATAATTCTCTTATCCAGTAATTGTATACAAAGGCTTCTATATGCATGTAAATGTTTTTTTTTCCATTACACTTTACCTTATATTTAATTATTATACACGAGCCAAATATGTGAATATTCCGATGTCTATCTAATCAAATTTGATATTAAGAGAAGGTGATTATTTTAGGAAAAGACTTTAATTTAAACAACACTCCCTTTTTTAAAAAGTAAAATAAAGCGGAAAATTCAACCTTATAAAATTGTCCTCTGAATAATAACGTTGAAAAATTTATAATCGAAGACGGTTTAGTTTTACAATGAACGATGTACTTCATGCATAAAACATGAAGACGGTTGCTTAGTCTTGCCGGCTAGCTTTTTGAAATGGGTAATAGTTGCTCTGTTCAAAGCAACATAGATTTTAAGATTTACTGGATGAATTATTTGCGGGAATACACCTTATATATATTGAAAAATCATTGTATTAGATTTGGATTCAATTATTGTATAATATCGTATCTGTCCGAATGAATACCCATGAAACTTGGCTCCTATTTCAAAAATAATGGCGATCTCTTTTACCGCGAATTACTGACAGTAACTTTTAGTTATTTAATCGTAATGTGATGCTCACAAGCATTCCCTTTTTATCAGTAAATTGTAGTTTGAAATAAAGCGAATAGGCCTTGATAAATTGGTAAATAAGTCCATAGGTTCAATCAAAGTTACCAGACTTAATTAGTAGATGAAGGAATTGATCCTGACGGAAATTAGTGAATTTGCATTAATATATAAACTCGAGGTCATCGTTTTTCGACTGTCTGAAAACTCTCCATAATAAAAATAATTAACGATTAAGCACTTGCCTCAGCTATAGAGAAATTTTAGAACAACGTTCAATAAACAAGTGTCGTATTGACGTATGTGTCGTTTCAATCCCCAATCAGTAGTGTACGATATTTTGTGTGAAGTTGAACAATGCTAATTATAGTTTCAAGTGGCAATATTCATTTGCATTAGTTTCTCCTAACAATTTATTTCAATTTCAAAACTAAAATGATCCATCAATCGACGTGCATTGATTAGACAAAATTTATCCCTTTTTCGTTTCTCCGTTTTTTAATTGTAATTGGCCTAATTTGTTATCATCTAATTTAGGAATTTTCAATACATTTTAAATTAAGATTATGAAATTCAAGCAATTTCTCATACATATTTGTTTTGATTAATTTGTTTTTATCAGTCAATCCATCAAACCTTCTTCTAATGAATGCCATATATCTAAAGGATTTGTGTTGGTTAACTCAAGAAACTAAATTTTGAATATTGTAAAATATGATAAGAATCGTTCTGTTGAAACATAATAACAGTTACTTAGTACACATACTCTATAATCGCACAAACTAGTTGTTAGGCTATTCTTAGAGTGTGTTCTGTTTGGACATTTTAGTGCGCCCGCCTGTCGTTACACAAAATTAGTCTAGCTAATGTTATACTTATAGGCCTTCTGTATTTATATTTGAGCTTCAAATTCCGAAAATTAAATAAACGGTGCGGGTGGTGTAAATGGTACAATTGTGGTTTCATGAAACGTGAAATTTGACGAATAGCCCGACAAATCTGTATTTTAGTAATCCGAATATCATGAACCAACATTTTAAGATTAATCATCGATACATTTAACATTTTCATACATATGCAAATTTGTTTTGTAGTTTTACCGTTCTCGTCTATTCTATATCTACGACTAGGCTCGATTGTGTAGGACATTTTTAAATAGAAAATCGCATAAGTAGGTAGACTTCATGAATTATTTGTTGGGCGAAGTGAATTGCGGTGGACTCATTTGAAAAATGTGTTACCCAAAACCTTAAATCAATAGTAATTAGATCGGGCAGAAGAAGACTTCAATCTCTAAGTATGGAAAAAAATGTGTCAAAATAATAGAAAATTATACATGTTTTTTAACGTAAACCATATCGAATTCAAAATTAGATTGAATAAACACTGCCAAAGAGTTATTAATGTAAACATAAATATAGGTAAGAATAGTCTAGTTCCACGAAATATAAAGTATATTGGTAAGCTTTCGTTAGATCATAGTCTAACTTCTTCAGACAAAAAAAAATATACAACGAAATCAAACAACGAATAATGTGTCAATGAACGGTATTATAAATCAACTCGCATTTTCGTGAATTGACCGCTATTTTAAGACTCGTCACCATTGTTGCCTGTAGTGTACTATAAATAATCAACACTAATCCCAATAATAATAGTCCAAATTACACATAAATTGCCTAATAATTTATAGGTTTGTTTATAGTATCATTTGACAAAATAAGATGACAGTTATCTTTGTCCACTTTATCGCTTTTGTGGTTGTCAGGAATCCCCAATGACCAGAAAGTTAATTAAATTTGTCAAATAGAGCAACAGCAAAAATAACCAGCATTTTATGGTAATTCTATTCGATAATCATTGAGAATCGTATTATTATAATAATATTCAATGTCCAAGAATGTGCTGCAGATGGAACGAACCACCGAGTTGCAATTTATTCATGGCACAAGCTCATTACAAAATTTGAGTTATTGTATTTACATGTTAACGTCAGTTAAATTTGACGCATTTTTACAGCGTACTAATCTTGTTCGTATGGGTACTTGATTTGACAAAAAAGGAGTCAATATGTTCATTTTGTTGGATAATACGATTAATTTTAGAAATCAAATTTAGCAAGACGTGGAATGAAAGAGTTTTGTTTACAGCAAACAAAACTAAGTAAAATTCAATGATATATTCACGTAGTTCGATCACAGTCTATTTACTCAAATGGATTTGATCTTGCTGTAGAACTGTAACTAGTGCAGTGCTTTGCATGAATGATGTCTTATACAGTTTTACGTCTTGGTACAGTAAAGTAGAAGTTGACCACGAAAACAATGGTCGCAATTTATTCAAGGGTCTTGCAGCACACTTCAATCACTTAGGTTTGTTGCCTTCAACCTTGCTACAGCATCATCGCTTGCAATATATGCATACAGATCCACCGCACAGAGGAATAGAAGAAGGATAAGTAGTTAGTGCCGCAGAAACCAAATCAATGGCTCAAGAAAACAATGGTATTTGCAAGCCATGTAACAACGAAAATTTTCGACTCTAGATAGTGAGATAACCGATTCGGCTTTACAGCCCATCACAGCTATGATAATATTTTTGATACCGGTCGCCAACTCCACTGCATGCACAACTTATTTGGTATATTGCTTTATAAACTGGCCATGGTTTTCAAAATCAATTAAAATAGCCCGACTATACGAAAATCAATCGATTTTGTTATAAGTTAGATTAGTTTATTGACCGTCATCGCAGACAAACCTGAAAATTTTGCATTTAATTCATCAAATCTGGCAGACGAAATTGAAGTCTAATTAAATTACAGTTATTGAATCGCTATTTGCCAAGATTTGAAATAGATTGCTGTCAAAATTGGCGGCGGAAATGAACAAAATGCCATTCTTTGTTAATGATAGAAATATAAAAATAATTGACCAGAGTAATGCTTTTTTGTCAATTTTGCGGAACTGTTTGGGTTTTCCATCCTTAATCGTAAATTAGTTTAAAGTCATAA